TTATTTATAGAATGCTATTCCCCTTCTTATTTTTGTATTAGAGAAAACAACCTTAAAATATTTTATCTTGATATATATTTTTTAAATAAACACAATAATTTTTATTTTTTTTTAGAATTACTTTAAATTACTCTTAGTTTAAAATTTTTTTAAAATAATTTAGACTTGAAAACAAATTAAAAAAAAAATTAGACTTGACGGGTCAGGTTCTCGCTCCTATGTATCTTTCGTATGTAACGGAAGAATCAAAGTTGCCACGTAGTTCTTTTTCAAAATTTATGTTTTGGATAAGTTTCAAAGATTTTCTTTTTCTTTTTTTTGAAAAAAGTTGATTTTTTTAAGTAAATCCACTTTTGTACAGGGTTCAAGTTAGCACACGGCTACTCAATAAACTCTTGTGATCCATAAAACGTTGAAGGTGGATCCACCACTCTATCAAAATTGTTTGGCTGTTGCATGGATTTAAAATATTTTTTAATATTAATTTCTATTTTTTAAGAAATAAATCCATCTTTTTTTGTTTAGAATACAAAAAACATACATATATCTTGATGGAAAAAATGAACAAAAGAAATAATTTTAGCATTAAGAAAGGCTTAGTTTTTAAAATTTGCAAAAAAATGTTTTTAAGATTATAAAATGTTGGCTTTTTTTTTTAGGGTTGCAAATAGAACTTTTAGGGTTAAAAAAACATTAGAGTTTTTAGGTTTATACAAAAGAAAGAGGGTTTATCATTGAAAACATGTTTTTGAAAAAAAATTATATTCTTTAGGATTTTGCAAAAAGAATGATTTTTAGAGTAGAAAAAATTAGGCTTTTAATTTTTTTTTTTTACGAAACAAATAAATGTTAGAAAAAAATTAGGATTCACAAAAAGAAAAGTTTTAGAGTTAAAAAGAAAATTAGAAATTTTGTAGGTTTATAAGAAAATAATAAGTTTTTAGGTTAGATAAATTAGGATTTGCAAAAGAAAATTTTTTTAATACAGACAAAAGAGAAAAACACATAGAGATAGGATGAGTAAAAAAAAAAAGAACAATAAAAATAAAAAAGAAATAATAATTCTTACTGAAAGATAAAGAGAAGTGAATTCTATTTTTGTTAACTCATTTATGATGAGTCAGAGTTTTTGAGTAGACTTTTACTTCAATCTTTTAGATATGTTCTTTCTACTTAATCTCTAGGACTACGCTTTAATTCTCAGTTGATTTCTTTTTAACTCTTTCCTCTTTCTATTCGTTTCTCGATCTCTCTCTTTTGAATCTCTTCGTTTCTGAGCTCTCTATCTTGAATTCTCTCTCCTTTTCTCTCTATGCTCTCAAAGTGTCCCCATAAAAAATAAAAGGTGTCTACCTAAAAGTTTTTTCTTTTTAAAAACCTAAGCTTCCTATTTATAAGTATTTTGTAAAATCCTAAATCCTATTTATTTATTTATTTTTAATAAAGGCTCCCTTATTTTTTGATGACTAGTAATCAGTTTTTTTTCTCATCCATTTTCCTAAAAATGTACAAACTACTTTGACCATTTCTAAATCTAATTTTAAATTTTAAAATTTAAATTTTGAATTTAAATTTTGAATTAATTTTTTTGTTTATTTTCTTAACCTCCTAAAAAATTGAATCATTATATTTAATTTTTTAATTTTTAAAATTTATTTTTAAAAGGGACCTGGATAAAATTGGGTATTCACAATGTTCCCAAAGTTAAAGAAGGACATGTTACATTTAATAAAAAAAAAAACCTAACAAGCTATTAAGAATCATAGCACATTTATAGCAGTAGAACATAAAGATTCCTAAATATATATGTGATTACAACAATGTCAAAACATACGCACATACACACTAATTCGGTTTAGGATTATTTAATTTTGACAAATATAGCACTCACAATCACATCCCTCTAGGTATCCACATGAACAAAACCACTAAAGCCTTTGTTGTTGCTTTATTAGTAACTTCGTATGAGTCAGTGCAAATCCAATTAGGCAATACTTCTAGTCTAACTAGAATATGACTTCTTTAACAGATTTATTATTGTGTTTAACACTAAAAATAACATATTTGTATAATGTCTAAAAAAAGTCAAAACATTATACTATCAACACTGATAACAAACTATTCACTCATATATAATGGTGTGAACTTCAAAAAAGTGTAAATAGAGAATATACTAAAAGTTGATCTAGTAAAGTTTGAAACATACATCAAGAAAAAGAAAAATAATTTTGTGAAAAAGACTAACCAACTTTTTGTAATTTTTTTTTATATATTACACCAAAACAAAGAAAAAGTCAAGAATACAAAAAGTTTTGAAGTACACTTGGTACTAAAAAGCACTTAGACACATCATAAGGGATAATAGAAAAGCAATATTGTGTGTCTAATAAATAAATGAGGTGTTTGACATAAATATTTTTTAAACTCTATAAATCAAAGGCTTTATCATGCAAAGAGGATGGAAGTTATCAAAAATCGTACCAAAATATTTTTAGAATCACTTATTCTCAACTATTTATCTTTTTGTATAAATTTTTCTTTATAAAAATGAGTTATTGCTTGTCTAGAAAGGAAAAAAAAACTTTGAGTGTAATTTATTTTTGCTTGAAGAGACAATATTGAAAAATAATATTTAGGTTTTTTAAGCTTGAAAAGGGTATTGTAAAATTCTTTAGGTTATGAAATACTTATTGTAATATATGTTAATAGTAAAATTCTTAACAATGTTAGGAATTGTATGTGATGACTCTTTTCATGAACATACATGCTTCAAGATCTTTTGATTCTAGGAAGAAGTTCTCCAATTACCTATTCAATCTATTTTTTAGGATTTGTCACCATCAAATGACATGAATAATTTTGATAGATCTAATGATGATACTATTGCCACTTATATTGATGACGATCATGACTTCTCTTAGTCTTTTTGCTAGCTTATTTATTTATTTATTTATTTATTATTATTATTATTATTATTATTATTATTATTTGTAATGACTTAATATTTATCATTTTTTATATATTTTATTATAATACTTTGATTTCTATTTATATTAGTCTATTTATTTGATAATTATTTTATAGACAGTTAAATATGACTTTAATTGATAATTATATGACATGTAATACCACTAAATTTTCATAGTTTAGATTTTAAAATGACTAAATAATTACCAATAGGTACACTTGTTGATAAAAATCATAGTTAGTTTCGTATGACTTTCTTTGACTTGCATTTTATATAACTAAAATTTATTAAAATTTTAAGAAATCAGATTAAACCCTCTTTTTTTTTTTTTTGGTTTTCTAGTGATTTTAAGCATTTTGATTGTGAATCATTTTATAGGCTACTTGCATAACGGAGGATGGGGTTTCTCAAACCTAGGTCACCAACTTGCTTTTACAAAGTAATTTTATCCTAATTTATAGGAAGATCTTTTTAATAATAAGCATTATGACCCAATGAAAATTGTGAAAATTTCTATTAATCCCTTGACAAATATTAGTGGAAAGGAATATGTTGTTTACACAATATATAAGGAAGAGGGCTTGAAGAACAATTTTTCCTTGCAAATAATAATGATTATTTTTCAATTACTCAATCTAGAAGAAACTTTATTGAGTAAGATTTTTTTTAAATTATCTTTTTAACATAATTTAAGAAAAAACTATGATATAAAATTATTCAAACAAAATATATAAAAAATCAATTTCATTTTAATTTATAACTTATTCAAATAACTTATTTAATATCATAATTTTTTATTCTTAAATTAATATTGAATGTATTTTTTAAAATACTAAATGAGCATTTTTATATTTTAAAAGTAAATTTATTGAAATAAATTTTAAAATAGAAAAACTTCATGTCATTATTAATATATCTTTAAATAGTTAACAATATAAAACAAAATATTTTATATACTTATTATATATAGTAGAAAGTACACATGTATGTAGTTTACTGTAATAATAATAATAAAAAATAATGCCAATATAATTCAAATGGGTTTCGCGGTAATATAAAAATGTGGGGTCCACAGGCATAAGCTTTTGAATGTTTTGTGAGCATTGCATTGCATAATGAAAAGGAAAAGGAAAGTTACACTTAACTTGTAATCTTTTATTCTTCTTATAAAATGGGTAAGTTAAGTATATATAATTGGATGATGATGATATTGGTATACCCACTAACCTCCACACGTGCCAATGCCATATCCATTTGATTGAAACAAAATACGGAAAGTTTCATCACTGTCTCAGTGTTTCTATTTTCGTATAATAACACACTGTTTGCACCAAAAACGCATTGTCGCATACCGAAGCGGCAACAAACAAATCTATCGGCGTCCACTGCAAAGGGAACATCTGCATAAGTCCCGTGACTCTATATTTCCTTTCATTTTCATTTTCTTTCTTTCTTTCAAATTTCAATTAAACTATTAACATATTTTTTAATTTAGTTTACATGTATGATTCTTATATATTGAGATGAAAACTATTTTAGATATGTTTCTATTAAATTTGTCCAAAGAATACAAATACAATTGTCAAAAAGATTATAAAAATGGTTAATTCTGAATAAAAACCAATCAAAAGGCACGAATAATTTAATATTAAGTAAAACAATCACTTTAATCTTTTAAATTATAAGCATAAATTATTTAAATTTTATAAAATAGTACTTATTTTTATTTTTTATATAAAATAATAATACAAAATAAAGAAAAATAATAAAATAAATCATCACCTTTAAAAATAAAAAATAAAGAAATATTTTTATAAAATCAATATAATTGATGCTTATAATTTAAGAAATTAAAGTAAATATTTACTATTTTAATGTTTAAACGGCACACACATTTAAAACAAAAAAAATAAAAATCATTTTCTTTCTTTCTTTTTTTAATGCAAAAAAGGTCACAAATTTTGAAAGAAAGATAAGAGGAAAATTGGAAACCGGTCCTTTCTTTTTACTTTTTTAATCCTTTTCATTTGTATTTTCTCGAGAATTTTCTCTCTCCTCTCTCTCTCTTTCTCTCTCTCCCTATCTATATCTCTGGTTTGAATTCTTCTTCTACTCGCTGACGCGCACTCGTGCCTACTTTCTTATTTATTGCAGTAATAATCATATCGTATACTGTACACACGCACCTCACCCACCAAAATTTTCATCATTTCACCCAACCATTCTTCAGGGGATGATTTTCCCTGTAATGCCTTTTTGATCAAACCATCATTTCAGGTATTTGTTTCTTTCTCTTCAACTACTTTTTTTTTTTTTAATAATTTACATGTTTTCGTCTGGGTTTGATGTTTTGAAAATTTTCATTGATGTTGTGTTTAAAGTTTCAATTTTTAATTGAATTTTCGTGTCACCCTTATTTATTTATTTATTTTGAAGGGCGCTGCCTGTGTGCGCGTAGGTAGATCTGTGTGGGTTTGGTCTGAAGTCTGATGCATTTTTTTTTGCAGATTTTAAGGTTAGGGATTTTGAACATGTGAAATGGATGAAACAGTTTGTTGCTACCTTCCTGTGGTTGATCTGCGTGATCACCTGGGCTTATTTTTCTGTTTGGTCAATTGGGTGCTTTTGATTATGTGGGGAAACGCATTTTTCCAAATGTTTGAAATGAGTATCTTGGATTATCATGCATGTGCGTCTTGCTTTGGCTTTGGTGTTGAGGTTTTGATGGCATAGAATCCGTTGACCTTGTGTGTGTACTGACCTATGTGCTTGGCATGATTTGTGTGTCTTTTTTTGCTCATGACGGGTTCCCGTTGTATCGTATGAGTTATTTGTCTTTAATTTACTTTACTTTCATTTCATGTTAGTTTATGGGTGTTGAGTATCTGTCCTTTATTCATTTGTCAGATTAATGTGTTTTTTGTAGTTTTGATTCCCAAGTGTTAGGTGTTTAGGCTGCAATTTAACGCTACGTAAGCCAGTTTATGAGGGCTGGTGCTTTCTGCCTCAAGTTTGTGTTCTTCCGTTGCACTTTTCCAGATAGTTTATCTTGAATGTATAAGGCAGATGGGGGCTATTTTCATGGATTCTTTATAAGTTCACAAATGAAATTTAAGAGGGGATATTATGTTGTCATTGTTTAATCTTTGCTTGGTTTTTCCTATAAAAAACATTGTATCTGCGAAGTTTTACTCGTGACATAGTCATGGTCATCTACTTTCTTTAGTTGTTTTCGCTCTTTACACTTTTTTTATTCTCATTTATATATCCTAATCAGTATCAGTCAAAAACCATATGAGATGTGAATTGCTGCATTGATTTTTTCCTCCTAGTGTTTTTCCTATTTGCTCATTAATTTTTGTGGTTCTCATCTTATTTGAAATTGAGGCAATTGACTCTAGCATTTGAAATGTCGGTTGTTATTATCAAAATCATGATTTTACTTGTAGGAATCACATGATCATACAAGTTTTCATGCATGTTTTTGACGTTTGAGCACCTAGAACTAGAATCATGGTAAAGGTTGAAGCTTTTGTTTTTGATTTTCTTCCTTCCCCTGAAACCTTCAAGTTGTGCTTTTTCTGAGCCTTCTGTTGAACTACAACTGCCACTGGATCTTTGGCTTTTCTGCTCTGTTCCTTTCTGGTTTGTTTTTCATTCCACAAACATTATCATTATCAAATATAAAATAGACATTGTAGTATTAATAATACAATTATTATGAAATAAATATCTATATTCTTGGTTGAATTTTTGTGGTTTTATGACGTTGATAAAGATGTTATCATACCTTTTGTGTTAAAGTAGACTTTTATATTTTTGGTAGAATCTTACAATTTGTGTTATGATCAGATGATTTATGATAGTCCATCATCATTTGATCCTAGGTAGGATCTTAATTTTAACAATCTTGATGTTATTGACTTTATGCTGAATGAAATGTTACCATTTGAAAAATGATTATCTTATGATGTGAATTTCTGGCTGACTGAGGCTTCCTGCTGGTTATAGATTACTTTTTAACAGCATGTTTGTGTGTTTCTAGAGCTGGTTTTTCACACATACCAAAGCAACAACTTGTGAGATGCAATATTTTTTATATTGTGCTTCTGGTTGAAAGTTTGTTAAATTGTTAATTTTTAAATAATTTGGTAGTTAAATCTTCCAAACAGCCATAACACTTATTATTGTGTTTCAACTCAACTGCAAAAATATTGAATTTTTATGTCTGTGAGGAAGATCTTCTATGAGGAAGATTAATTTTTATGTCTGATACATAGTCGATGGAAAAGCAAAAGTACCCTGTGAAGAAGATCTCCCAAAATTGATAGGAAGTGCTGTATGGCACACTAAAGTCTAAACAGTCACTCCAATCCAAAGAATGCTCTCATCCACCAATGGTAAACATTTACTGCCTTTGGCTGAGATCATTCTTTGTGGTGCTGCTATAGGCTAATAGAATTGCCACAGAATTGACATTTTGATTGTCATGTAAATAGTTGGTTTTCATGAAACAAATAACTTGGAAATGTTATGTAATATTTGCAAATTCTGTTGTGTGAACTGTATTACTGTATTATTAAAAATTGGATCTTTTTGTATCAAATTTTTTTTTCATGGTTGATAGTAATGAAATCCTTTTCTTTTTCATACACAGAGGGCTGCTGGTGGTTGGTTGTACAAGCATGGCATCAAGTAATCCATTCTTTGATGATATACGGAGCAGATCTAGTGTTGATCCTCCTCAAACTGAAGAATTGACAGAAATTGGTGAAGTTATAAATGAGCCTCCACCGACTACTCTTAAGCCTAATGGGACTGTTTCAAGCAGTGTTCGTGAGCTTTTAGAGTGCCCTGTGTGCTTGAATGCTATGTACCCTCCAATCCACCAGGTTCTTTTTCTGTTGATGTTCATTGTTGATTTGTTGGGTTTCTAAGAGAGCATGTGGATGTAACTTAAAAATTACTAGGTTCAACTGTGCTTTGACACCCTGATTTCTTATAAGCTCAATTGTACCTTCCACTTAGATTTATAAAACTAAGCACTTTGCCCTTGCTTTTAATTTTGTGTTTTGCAATGTTCCCCAAAATTTTCTAATTAGGTGTTAATTTAATTTTTGTGTTTTCTATTTCATTCTTTGAATTAGGAGCTGTTTCTATACAGCAAATGGTTATTTAATGGAAAAATAGCTGGAGAGGGTTTTCTTATTGTGCTAAGTGAGGAGCTTATATCACCAATCATGATTTTTGGCAATGAGTTGTTCTTTTTCTGTGTCAGTCTTGTAAGAAACACCATTTACAGTGTATTGTATAAAATTTTCGTGTTGGCTACTTTTTGGAAGGCATGGGGTGATTGCAAAAAATTGTTAAAATCAGACAAGCCCAAAAGTAATATTCCTAAAACATTTGTCATTAAGCTAGTTATTGGATATCTTGCTTCTGCTTTGTTAGAGAGATATGGAGAAATTAGGTTTACACATGCTATCGAAATGGATGAGAAGATTTAGGGTGTGATAGCTGGCAGTTGGCTGTTGAATATTGTAATTGTTGAATACTCTGATGCATGGATCTATGATTCTTAACACAACTTTTCCTAGCTAGGACTCAGTGATTGCATATGTAACCCGTTGGAATTTATATAATTATTTATGGTGTTTCTTTCAATTCAAAATGATTATCCATTGATAAACTTGTAGTTAATAGATTTTTATTTGAAATGCTTAACAGCTCCTGCATAATCTTTGTTGCAGTGTTCAAATGGTCATACTTTATGCTCTGGTTGCAAACCCAGAGTCCATGACCGTTGCCCTACTTGTCGGCATGAGCTTGGCAACATCAGATGTCTGGCATTGGAGAAGGTGGCTGCATCTTTAGAACTTCCATGTAAATATCAAGGTTTTGGGTGCATGGGCATATACCCATATTACAGCAAGCTAAAACATGAATCTCAATGTGCATTTAGACCTTATAACTGTCCATATGCTGGTTCAGAATGTACTGTTTTGGGTGATATACCTTTCCTGGTGGCCCATCTGAAAGATGATCATAAAGTGGACATGCACAATGGTTGCACTTTTAATCATCGCTATGTCAAAACAAATCCACAAGAAGTTGAAAATGCCACGTGGATGCTAACGGTATTGTTTTGCTGAACTTCCTTCTTTGTGCCTTCTATTAACTTTGAAAATCATTTAAGAGAAATGCTAGTTATACATTTTCTATCACACTTCATTGTCTTAAAGTTATTGGGACTTACATAATGATGCGGGTCTCCTCATTTTGAGTCTCATAATTGTGTTTCCCAATAAATTTCAACCAATAATAAAGAGTGTTGTAGTCAACCTCACATATAGTGGGATAAAATTTGGTGGTTGTTGTAATAAAGATTGTGTTAACAGTAGTGTTGTTAGCATTACTAAAAAAACCAGTTGTAGATTGTGTTATTTTTGGTTATGTTAGGATGTACATGTGTTTGTCCTCATCAATAGGTGGGAATATAGAATTGTGGTAAAATAATCACCATTGTAACCTACTTATGCATTCCTTGATCCGTCCTATACAAGAAAAACTAGTATACTCAAGTAGTGGAACTTGTCAAAGTTGAAGTTGATCTTGTAGTGTAGGTTTCTGTGCAAAATTTGGGTTTACTGATTTCTGGATCTGACTTTTGTTCATAGGTTTTCAGTTGCTTTGGCCAGTATTTTTGTCTACATTTTGAAGCTTTTCAGTTAGGAATGGCTCCCGTCTACATAGCATTTTTGCGGTTTATGGGGGACGATAATGAGGCAAAAAACTACACCTACAGTCTTGAGGTGGGTGGAAATGGGAGGAAGATGATTTGGCAGGGGGTGCCTAGAAGCATTAGAGACAACCACCGCAAGGTGCGTGACAGTTTTGATGGTCTCATCATTCAAAGGAACATGGCTCTGTTCTTTTCAGGGGGTGACCGGAAAGAGTTGAAACTACGAGTTACTGGGAGGATTTGGAAAGAACAGTGACTGGAGAAGTCCTTTCTTCAGGTAGCCAATTGTATTAAACAGAATAGTTTGTAGTGTACCAATCTCTTAATTCTTGTAATGGTATGAATCTTCTGGTCATGTATTGCTTTTGTAATTTAGAAGGCAACATCTCTTTGCTTACCTTCACATCAAATACATGAACAGGAAAGTGTACCTCGTATCCATTATGATATTTTTGAATATAGATGTAGAACCTTAGCTTGCTCCAGTATTCTTTCTTCAATGTGTCTATGGAGCAAATATTGCACTCTCACCACATGCTAAACTTAAGAGTTATTTTTGCCTTCTGTTTCATGCATTGGACGGGACCAGGTACAACTGAAGACTTTCATCTATGTAATTTTAGAAAGACAAATATGTTTTTTAGTCTTTATAAATATGATTAAATTTTATTTTAGTTTCTAAATTTTCTTTTATTGGTTTTAGTCTTCGTAAATTTTAAAATTTTTAAAAATGGTTCTTGTTCCCACTTAAAATTCTTGATGTTTATCACATCATTGTTAAGAGATAATAGGATTTTTTAATAGTTTGAGGATCAAAATAAAAGTTTTTTAAGGGTTATAATTAAATTTAAACATATTTACAGTGATTGAAAACATTTTATCATTTTGAAAGATCATTCTCTTTGGCATTAATGCTCAAGTCTTCAATTTGAAAGTCAAGTTACTACTAATCCTGTATTGGGTATTGATCCAAGTTTGGAAACACGTTAGAAACCTGTAATGTGGATCCGATTAGTAGTGTTGAAGTAAAATTTACCTGTAACATCCTAATATTTAGTGTCCCTGGTTTGCTGAATTTTGACAAAATCGTTGTCAAAATTTTAAAAATTAAATTATTAGGAATTAGTCAAGGTGACTTTAGAGTTTTATATTCATTAGATGATTTGTGATTTTCTGGAATTTTTCTGAAATTTTTAGAAAATACTCAAAATTTATCTATTTTGTGAGTATACTGATAAAAACTTTAAACTGAATTTGAGTATAGCAAATGAAGTCTAAAAAAAAAAAAAATTCTGAAAATCTTACAAGAGTCTAGTAATACTAACAAAATCTCGAAAAGTAAATTTTTACAACACAATTTGATAAATTTCAAAATTCTATTTTGCAGCATATTTAATTAGCAGATAATAAATAAATTGTTTCGGGAGCAATTTGAGTAAATTAAAATTTTAATAATCATCTCATTATTATTGTAAACATTCTATTACCTTGTTTAAAAAAAAATTTTCCTACTTATTAAATTGTAAAAATATACATTTGGTAAAAATGTAATTCTTAAGTTTAAAAAAAAAATTAATAATAATAATAAATTATTTGAATTTTGACTTTTATAAGGGACATAGGAGAGAGAAATACTTAAAAAAAATTCCTAAAACTTTCCTAAAATTTACGGGCTCTTCTTCTTCTTTTTCTCTTCCAAAAACCTTCACATTTCAAGCTAGAAATTGAGGGCAAAATCTTAATTTTCTTGAGGAGCTTCAAGAGATTTCGCCGAAAATCAATTTCAACCTCAAGCTTTGGAAGGAACAAACGTGGACGTAAGAGGTAAGGGGTGGGTTATATAGTAAGGATTACATCATAAACATATTTAACCTTACTTGTTGAAATTGTCAAATTTTGTTATGATTGATACTTTCAATTTTATAATTTGTTTAATTTCAAGAGATGAAAAAGGTTGGTTTGCGTGTTTGATTGTAAAAGTATATGTTTGAATACTTCATTGAGCTATAAGTTGTGTTATATGATATGAATTATCCTTGAATGAACATTTATGTGCATGGTGGTTTTCATGGGAAAGTTTATTGAAATTAAATTGAAATGAATAAATGATGGGTGGTGACTCCTTACAAACTGTATTGGGAAGTTTTCTGATTGTAATAGGTATCTAAAAAAAAAATTTTGGGAAGTCCATATTACAAGGGAAACTCTGTCAAAATTTTTGAAAAATGTTCAGACTAAAATAAAAATAAAAATATTTTAATCATTTTGAACAAATTTATGAATTTAGGAATACGGGACTTTTCTAAGAAAAAAAAACCTTAGGAACTCATGCATTACTCATCTGAAAATGGTATTTTGTGCAAACTGGGGAATCAGAGACTATGGACTCTGGGAATACGATAGGGAGGCCCTGAGGGAGGACTTGGGGATAAGAAGGGTAGTGGTTGGAAGCCCCAAAAGGCTCAGGCTCGCTACCTGTTGTCGGGGATCCCACTGTACAAACTCTCCTGTACCTGACTGTACTCTTACCGTATATCATGGTCAGTGAGCTACTAGGTTTATATTTGAGCGTGAGTCTCAATAATCCCGTGGGTGGATTTTTCATACCTAGTAGTATCAATTCCTGGCTACCCCAGCACTGATTTGAGAAATGATCTGGGCCCGCATGCATGAACATATTAGTAAAAGGAACTAGGATCATGCATCATCATCATCATGTATTTGGAATGTGATTGATCTGTGAATGTTTATGATGTTTGATTTTAACAAGATGTATGAACTATGGCTCACCCTATTGTCTTTCTATTTTTTTTATTTTCTATGTGTTTGCGATACTCGTTGGATTTGCTCGATCACTCTTTGTAGTAGAGGAAGATGGCACAGTTACCACTTCAGACGAATATGGTGATCAGGTTCCTCAGTCCAAAACCACACCGATGGCATCACGATTGGGATAATCACATTCACACATTTGCTGGCATACTTACTATAATGTTAAGGAGAGCGGCACCAGGACCCGGAGGTGGCAATGTACCTTTCACCATTAGGACTAGACTAACTCTTGATTTGGGTAATAATAATCCCTTTCAGCCCATACCACCACCAGTTCCCCCTCCAGCTGAGGAGGAAGAAATGGATATTGATGTTCCTGAGGATTATGATCCTCTAAACATCGATGAGTCTAGTGACTCAGAGATGGGCTCAGATGAGGGAGATTCATCACCCAAGTCTGAGGATATGGATTCAGAGTAGGACTGGAAGCACCTTACTTTTTGTGTACAGTGGCAAGAGTTAGTTGTAGGCATTCTTTTGTTATACATAGGCCTATATGGTGCTGGGCAGTAGCCACTTATTTTGTTTAGTTATGCTGCTCTGTAGGAAATTATTTCCGGTGTTGCTCTTATTATTTTGAAGAATTGTATCTAATATTTTTATCTGTATGTTAATTATGTTACTAGACGAAATGGTGATTAAGTTCTCTGGTGTATAGTGACGTGTAAGTAGGGAACTCATTGACCATTTGCCCTTTGGATTACTGTAAACAACTATTTAAATATTTATGAATGTTTACTTTTATTATATGCTACGATGAAATTCAAAAACTTCATATTGAAATTTGCATGTGAAAATTTATTTTGTGATTAATGATTGGAAATATCGACATTATGTATGAATGAATTATTATTGGTTTAAAAAAAAAAATCACTAATTGAGGGTCTCTATAAAGTAGGGTATTACATTACCTGCTTGCTAATGTGAAACCAAACGTGCTATAAGACTTTTCTGTTACATTTGGATGGATTTAATCCTCGCTTTAGCTTCATGCAGTTTCTGCCGTAAGAAATGAGTTTAATTTATTTAGCCGAATGGTTGTGATGTAACTAGCTTAATGTAGCAAGAAATATATCTGTAACTAAATAATGACCAAACTTTTTACTACTTTCGTAAATATTTTGTTAATTTCATTTTCAAGAATGCAATAAAATTTCAATGTTGTAATGGGAAAATTGACTTTATATATGCCAACAAAAAATGCTTGTAGCTAAATCATATCCTCAGGCAGTGAAAAGGTTAAACTCACAATATTTAAATGTTTTTACAAGTCTATTTTATTTATAAATGCTTGCTATAGTATCCGTAAATTTGAAAAAGCATTTATTTTATTTATAAGTGCTTGCTATAGTATCCGCAAATTTGAGAAAGCATTTTGTATTCTCTTTAAATTAACAATTGTGATTTTTTTAATATTATAGAGATGAGAGAGTATTAATGTCTTTTTTTTTTAACTAAACTACTAACTCTATTATCTATTTTAACGATCAGGATTATTCTACATGTAAGACAAGATACTAAACCCTTTCACTTACTCAAGATAGGAATAATATTTTGTATATAAATATATAATATTTTTTTAACAAATTAAAGAGAGGTAAAAAAGCATAAAATGATCAGTAACGTGATCCAAAAGAAAATAAAGCAAAACATTTTACAGAAATAATATCATTTTTATTTTATTGTAAAACTTTTTTATTGCTCATGAAAGTGAACGCCCTAGAAAAAGAAAAAAAAAACGTTGCACGTACTTGATCAAAAAATAATTTGGAAAATCCCTCAGCCTTATTAAAACAGTCAAAATTCTTAATTCACCCTTTCACACTTCGGACTAGACATCTCAATATTCAAATTGAATAATTCTAATACCATATTAGAAAGTTAACTCATAATGGTAGTGCTCAAACCATTTAGAGTTTTTTTTTTAACCACATTTCTAATTGATATGAAGCATTTTAAAACATCCTCATGCTCAAAACTAGACATCTAAAATGCAAAATTTATAGACTTAGAAATGTCAGTAGGCTAACATTCAAGCTAGATAAATTTTAATTTCACATTAAAAACTAAGACCTAACTTATTTCTAAAAACTGGCTCAGAAAAAAGGTTGTCTAAATTATGTAAGGAGTATTGTGACGATTTTATGTGGAACATCTTGAATTATGAAAAATGCTTGCACATTTGTTATCCTTGGAGAAAACGTAAGCAATAGATATAAATTGCATCATTCAACCATGGACTTGCTAAGCTTTATCTTAAAAACAAAGTCCTTCAAAGAAAGATTGGGACAACTCAATATTTTTTAGCAAAATAAAAATACTTATAGTGCAACGTTCAGGTGAATTTTGTTTTAGAACCAGTATCAACCAAATACCGATCAATTTCATATATTCTTGGTGAAACGGAAAAAATGAAGAAATACCTACCGTTCAATAAAACTCCTGTTACCATGTAAATAAAGAAGCCACTTCAATGTACCAACTGAAAAATGTCTTTAATATTATATCGTACCCAAGTGGGTTACAGTGAGATTAGATGTCCCAACAAAACATGACTTTTTAGCTCATCCTTTTATTTTAGGAATGCAAACATCAAGTACATTTGGCCAAATATGCATTCCATCCTTGAAGACGGTATTCATGAGCTGCCTCAGCAGGATTTGCAGCTTTGATGATGCCACGTCCCACGATAATAATATCACTGCCCCTATCATGGACGACCTGTAAAAATATTTGGTGAATTATCAAGATCAGTATGCTGCAGGAAAAGGAGTAAATTAAATGTCAAAAACAGCTGCAAAAGACAATGAAAGAATGCTGCTTTAATGCATTTCCAATACAAG